AAAAGCAATGCATGTATTATCTGTTTATTTTCTCACTAACCAAAGGTGAAAAACAGATAACTATCACACTAGACTGTACCATCTCAGTTCCTTCAACTCTGTTATACTGTGGACACAGAATAGTCTTTAAAAATTTATAATTCAATTTTTCAGACCGTATTCCACCCCTTCCTTTGAAATATAACGTTCTGAAAAAAATAACAGTAAAAATATTTGAAGATAAAGTCAGGTGTTTTCAATGCAGAATACAATTCTTGTCATTCATTGGATTCTTCTAATATTCAGAAATTTTAAATCAGATGTTTCATTATGAGAAACTTCAAGTAATAATCCCTTACACAGCAGTAATTTCAATTAACTAGTACTGCAATTAATGTTTAGTAAAGTCCACAGAATCAATAGATAGATACTGGACCACGTTTTATACTCTATTACTTTAAAAATTATTTTACCATGACAGTATTTACAGTATTTAGAAAATAAGCAGCCCTGTTATTCTAGCTGTTTACTCACAAAGAATTTGTGAAAATTATGCTTTTCAATTATATAATCTAAAGGCATATAATCTAAATACAAAATCAGATTCAGGATGAGAGAACAACCTAATACACAAGCCAAATGAACTACGCAATAACTGCAAGTGTCATGTAAACATCAGGAATTACTAACATTGGCTTTCATTGTTGAGTATTTTCCTTGTGATCATATTTCATTACAAAGTATTAGAATTATACCTTCTTAAAGATACACAAAAGTTCTGATTTTCTTTTAATGTTTCCACTCCAAATATACTTCCTGTGATAAGAAATAGCAGTCTTCAGATCAATATTGGTATATGTTAATAAGGACTTCATGCTATGAACTACAGCGCAGGCTTATGGAACATCATAACTATGTCTAATTTGTTAAAAAACAGAGGGAGAGAGCAGCAGTTCCTGTAATTGGTTCTATTATACATGTTTCTCTCATATATATATATATATATATATACATATATATATATGTATATATATATACACACACACCACGTTTTTCGGATGTTAAATGTTTTATTTCTTATGGCAATTTTCTTTGGGGAAAAATGTAGGAGAGGTTTGCACACAAATGCTGCTTGATAACAGAATGCATGTACAACCTGCCCACACACATCTCAATATATACGCTTTCTTAACCAGAAGCCTAAGAAAATTCTTCTGTCAGAAGAATCTATAAGATGTTAAATTAAACATTAATCATACATAGTCTTAAAGGATGGATGATACAGAATGATTAGAAAACATCCATTTAACCATAACAAAATATCTGCATTTCAACAAAATTTCCATCCATACCAATATAATTTATGGTGTTTTTACAAGAAAAATCTGAACAGTCCACGCACTTTTGGGACAAGGTTTCATGTATTATATACACAAAGTTCCTACAAAAAATGGAAGATCTGTACAAAAAATATGCAGGCCTATATGCTAGCTATCTAATCCTCTTATAAGTAATTCTGTTATGTATCCTAGTGGTACCAGATTCTATAATAAACGAAGTCTTGGAGTCTTGGGAAACTGTGGTATACACGTACGTTCACAAGTGACAAAAAAAAAAAAAAAAAAAAAAAAAAAAAAAAAAAGGTTGTTTCTGAGAATGTTGCTGCGGTCAAAACTATAGGGATACTGCTGATTTGAAATCATCACCTCTGTTGTTTTGCTCTGCCTTTTTCCATTTCTTCTCCCTCCCCCCATCCCCCCGAAAATTTGATTCCATGCAGCCAGTCCTCTTCACTCATACAAATGTGACATACATGCGCATCAATTAGATGTTTTACATGGCATTATCTACTTTATTCATTAAAGTAACAGAGTGTCACCATTAGCAAATAGTTTAAAGTAAAACCTACCTACTAATTTTTGCTTTAAAAATAATGTAAATATGTTTTAACAGCTGAAACTCCTTATGTGAATATGCTCTGATGCTTCTGTCCAAGTATTAAATATTCCATTTTAAAATAATGCAGCTTCTGTAATGAAATAACATTTTGTTTCTATCAATTCTTACTGTTCAATCAACATTTTATGAAACCTTAAGTGTCCAAGTGTCCTTTTTTTTTTTTTTTTGGCATTATGAAAAGCAAAGGAAAAAACGCAAAATTATTGACTGTCAAAATCAATTATCTCACAAATCTGTACATTTATACATACACCATTTTAAAGAACAAGGACCACTGAGTTGCATTTTGAAATCACCCATCTGGTTTGATAAATAACACCATTTTGGCTGGCAATGAGCTAGAACATGTATGCCAATTCACAAAATTTAGAGGAACACGCTAAGTCCACAATTGAGTGATAAAATACTTTACTAAATGAGTTTAATTTCTCATGAAGAGTACTTCTTTAGACTAAAGAAACCTGTTGGTAATATAATTTTTATGTATAACTTATTTAGGTCACGTTTACTAGTCAAGGGGGCTAGTCCAAATGGCAAGAAGACACAGTAACTCTGTATACTACTATCTCAATTTAGTAAGTGCAAAAGAACATGTTATTATTAGATCTACTGAAACTTGTTACAGAAGTTCCACAGGCCTGCAGAAAGGCATCTGGGGGTTTGGGTTGATAGCAGGTTGAACATGAGCCAGCAGCGTGCCCTGGCAGACAAGGAGGGCCAGCAGTACCCTGGATTGCATCAGGCACAGCACTGCCAGCAGGGCAAGGGAAGTGTGTCCTTCTCTGCTTTGCACTGGTGAGGCCTCGCCTCAAGCACCATGTGCAGTTTTGAGTACAACAATGTAAGAAGGACATAACATTATACAGCATTAAAAGGAAGTCAACAAAAATGGTGAAAGGTCCAGAGGGGAAGATGTATGAGGAGTGGCTGAGGTCCCTGGGTTTGTTCAGCCCTGAGCAGAGCAGGCTGAGGGGAGGCCTCATGGAGGCGACAGGACTCGAGGGAACGGCATGGAGCTGGGACAGGGGAGGGTCAGGCTGGGTGTTGGGGAAAGATTCTTCACTGAGAGGGACAGGTTCCTCAGGGAAGCCTACTCAGCAGGCAAGCAGTCATGTCAGGGAGCCTGCTGGAGTTCAAAAAGCATTTGTACAATGCTGGAGTTCAAAAAGCATTTGTACAATGCTCTCAGACATAGGGTATGATAGCAGTCTTCTGCAGAACCAGGAGTTGGATTCAGTGGTCCTTGTGGGTCCCTTCCAATCCAGGGCATTCTATGGAATGATTCTGTGAAAACAGTATCTGCTCCAGATTGTTAATATAAACTTTTGAGTTCAAAGCTGAACTGCACAGTCTTTGGTTTCTTGTTGTCCACTGTATTTACAGCCTGTTTTTATTCCCATGAAATAAAGGAAGTTTGGTTTTCACCCCAAAAGTTCTTTCTGTGCCTGTTAATTGGATTCATGCTGTTCATTTTTCCTATAATATTCTATCTAATGTAATTAATATACACTGGGGGCAAAATTCTCTTTCCCAAAGTACAGACTTGGTTAAAGGAGAGTTTTGCCTTGTTCACTGCAGCAGATTAAAATGATTTTACTGTGGTTGAGAACAGTTTGATGTATAAATTATACCAAGCACTGAACATACGAAAGAGAAAAAGCAAAAAAGCTATGCTACAAAGAGTTTGTTTTTATGACTACATTTTTGAGCAGTCTAAAATAAAATCTGCACTTTTTTTTCAAATCATATCAGAAAAAAAAATGCACTGCATGAAATGTAAAGTAAGATACACAAAAATGAAATGTTCAAATTAACTCTTAGATACCTTTATACATTTGGCTTTTTAGTTTTTTTTGTCTGATGGCTTGTTTAGATTTCCTGGGTTTGAGGGCTGGAGCCCCTCTCCTGTGAAGACAGGCTGACAGAGTTGGGGTTTGTTCAGCCTGGAAGACAGAAAGTTCTGGGGAGAACTTACTGAGGCCTGTCAGTTCCTTTGTCATGAAGTGTAGTGACAGAACAAGAGGTAATGGCTTTAAACTAAAATGGGTAGGTTTAGATCAAATTTTTCACTCAGCAGGTGGTGAGGCACTGGAACAGGTTGCCCAGAGAAGCTGTGGATGCCCCATCCCTCGAAGTGTTCAAGGCCAGGGGCTTTGAGCAACCTATTCTAGTGGGAGGTGTCCCTGCTTATGGCGGGGGGGTGGAATTACATGATCTTTAGGGTGCCTTCCAACCCAAACCATTCTGTGATTCTATGATTGGTTTTTCTGGAGTTTCCTACTTCCTTCCATTAGAAAGAATAAATTTACTAGAATTTTAGTAGAGGAAATTTTACATTTTCTAACCCAAAAGACTGCTGAGGCATAGCAAAGCTACAAAAACATTTTATCTAAGAAGGATACAAGATCTATTATGGACCTACATATTCCATCTCCATAAGAGAAGCCTCATACAAATCCACTTTACATTGTGTACAAGGCTTCTATAGAAAATTTAATCTCTGAATTGTACCAAAGTCAGAGTTTTAAAACATGCTAAAGGCAATGGAAGCCACAGTCCCTTCTTCAAAGATATTTCTGATTGGAGAAGGCAAGAGAAAGTGGAAAAAGATGAAAAAGAAGGGGAGTTAGCATAGATGTAACTCTAAAACTGTATCACAAATGCTCATTCAGCACAAGTCCATGATAATGTACAATGACGAAGCAGAGGGGAATAGAGCATTAGGGCATCTCACAGTCATTTGTCTCAGGTATATGATAGAAGTGACACTTCCTAGAGTATAAATCTGCTTATAAAAGAGAAGACCTCATACTATTACTCAACAAAATGCAGCAAAGCCCTTAAAGTTCTTTCAAGAAGAGGTAGCACAAGGTGAAGGACATCTGAAAGCTTGAATTCCTTCTCCAGGTTTTGACATAAACGCAAAGCTCTGTAGAGTTGTCCCATAGGGAATGTGATAGATATGTAAAAAAGTAAGACTGGTGAGAACATGTACTTGGAAAAAAACGAAGAAAGTTTATAAATCCTATTACTTATTCATTTAGGAAGAGGACTAGGTTTACCTTTTGTTTTTTTTAAACTATATGATTTCATGGTTGTGAAGAAACCAGATCTTGCTGGTGTCAATAAAGCTCACTTCCTCCCAGTCAGAGCATCCACCTGTGGGAAAGAAAACACAGTCATCATATTCTGCTTACTTTGTTTTTAATCATATAACTCTTTGACTTTATGCCAGCATAAATGAAGAGTGATGTATATGTATGTATGTACATTCACACTCTCCCCCTCAAACAAGTTTCAGTTGGCAAGAAAAACATTTCCGGCCTGTTTTCAGTAGTACTTTGAACAATGATGCTACTAACATGAGAAAATGCAGTGTAATGAACAAATTTTTCACTTAACCAAATATGTATCACAGATGTCAAATCACTGTTGCAGTCCAAGCCTGTCTTTTCTCTTTTAATGATCTCCTGTTTAAACACAAGGAAATCCCTAACATTGTGACATATAATGTTATTATACCTAAAAGCTTCATAGCATAACAAAGTAACAACTGAAAAAAAAAAATTAAGAACATTTTCCCCAAAATTAAAGCTTACTTAGACCAGCAGGTTTAAGGTAAATATCTTTCATCTTGATATATAAGATAGTAGGGAAAAAAGAAAACTGGTTATTACTTGTAACAGTTTTCTCGAATTGCTAAATGCAGTTTCACTTAAGTAAAAATGAATCCTTCTGATATGCCTTTCAGCATTCTGAGCTTTAATGATGCCTAGCACAGCAGTGTAATTAACAGTACCAATGATATATAACAATTCTGTGCTTTCCAGTGGTAGAAACAGAAGGCTAATGCCAGATTGCTTGTTAAAGGTACACCCGGTTACAAAGCACACCAGATGAGACAATCCCCCAGTAGCCACATAATGAGGTAAAGACATCTGTAAGAACTTTGAATATGAAGATTTAAAGTCATTGGTGATGCTGCAGATGGAATTACTGTCATCCCTGCAGATACTGCCACTGGAAATAGATCAGCCCTCCAATCAGACTGGACTGTGAATAGCTCCAACCTTGTTTTTCCTTCAATGATTTACTACATAGCTATTCCTAAGTAACTCAATGCAGTGTAGACTAAGTTAAGAGAGAGAGAGAGAGAGAGAGAGAAAAACTGTGCCTCCACTGCTTTTTAAGAGAATGCTAAGTGATCATTCAGTAACAGTGGAAAAAGAAACAGGAGAAAGTTTAAATAATTCCACTCTAAGTAAATTGGAATATAACATAATACAAGATACTTCTACAAAAGAAATACAGGTTCTGTGGGAAAAAAAAAAATAAATCAAAATTTAGCAGATACACTGAAGAATATAAACTATGAATATACTGTTTTGTAGATCAAACTGCATAATATTTAAATAAAATTATCAAAACTGGTATTTTATTTGTTGCTTCTACAGTCAAAATGTTAAACTATGTGAAAAGACTTTATGAAATCTTTTAGAAATATTTTTATTATTAGAAATATTTCCAGCATACTGGAAAATATGCTATGATATTTGTTGTTTATACTATCTGATAATATCACAACATCAATGCATTGGCAGAGGGAGAGAAGAATCTGATTCTCATTTAAAAAATAATGGCACTTTACATCATTCTGACATGGTAAAATAATTTATGACCCACTTTCAGACCTCTTTATATTGGCATCGTGATGCACAGCAGTCTCAGGATAAACGTGGAACAGGAATTTAAAAAGTTTACTCAAGCTGGTATGAAAGTTTTACAAGAAGGCATGGAAATCCAAATGCTGTCTGACAACGCAATGGATTTCCTGAATTATAATTCTGTATTTTCATTTTCTTCTCACAGTGGTGAGGAAGTTTTCCGCTAAATGAAGTGCTAAAACTTTTTAGTACTTTAATGAAACTTAAACAAAATCTTTTCCTTAGGAAACTATTAGACTATTTCCTGCTTTTACTGCTTTAAAATCTGAAAATGATTGAATTGCATTCATCTGATCTAATAATAAAAAAATTGTAGCACGTATTAGATCTGAATTCATGCTGTTCTTAGTAGGACAGATACGTGAAGATCAATATTATGAGTCTTTGAATTCATATGCATCTAAATTGATTGACTTAGCTGGTAAATGTTCATAAAGAAACTATTTCAGTTACTCTTTGCAACTACAATACATTATTACGAATTTATTATCAGAGTAACTCTAATTCAGACTCTTTATAGCTCAGCAAATTATTCACAGTAAATAATGGGATCAACACATTTCACCCCATTTGTGTTAATGAATTATCCATGAACTAGTTATGATTCTCTCTACTTCATTTCAATAATCGCCATGAGAGATCTGTTTTTCCAAAACACGTGAACAGTTATTTGTACCTACAGACAAATTTCAGAGTCTCTAAGAACTCCCCTTTATTTATGTTGAATGAAATGGCTTCCAAGAAAGATTGGCAGATATTTAATGTCTGTAGCATATTGAGTATATCTGAAACATCTGTTTACCGTGGACGTGTAGATGGTTAAATTGGTTGGAAACAGAAGTGCCAGCTCCTGTTCTTATTCTCTGCCATCAGAGTGATTCCAAAAGTGTTTATCAATATGGTGATACATTTTTGCTAGTATATACAGAAAACCTTTCATCTACCTGAGGTAGCTATGTAATGCTGTCTATTTTTCAGAGGCTCTTTTCTGAGCAGAAGCAGAGCACCTGAACTACCTGGAACATCATTAAGGATGAAAGAAAACGCTTATTAGGCTTGACATCAAGAGGGGGTTCTTCACAGAGAGGGTGGTTGCACACTGGAACAGGCTCCCCAGGGAAGTGGTCACTGCACCGAGCCTGTCTGAATTTAAGAAGAGATTGGACTGTGCACTTAGTCACATGGTCTGAACTTTTGGGTAGACCTGTGCGGTGTCAAGAGTTGGACTTGATGATCCTTAACGGTCCCTTCCAACTCAGGATATTCTATGATTCTATGATTCTATGGTTGGGCATGCTAAAGACCAAAATTCAAATTTCTAATTAACCTGACTCAAGATATTTCTTTAGAAAGATATAACATACAGATACATGTACATACTAGGATATATTAAATATCATGCACAATAACAGCATAGCATTAGGAATATCATAATAAGACTAATATTTTAATGCTAAAAAAATGAGTTAAAGACAAAATGCAAAGTTTTGGTCTTCATAGAGCAAAAGTAGCAGTGATACTGAAATATGTGAAAGAACAGTTTGTTTTCATTTTTTTCCCCCTAAAACAACAACAACAAAAAAGATAAAATTAGCTTACATAACATTTTATTTTTATTGATACAATTTTATTTTTTGGGTCAGTTTGTTTAGTACAGCCAGGAAATAGTTCCCTAAATTCTAATATTGCTCCAAGTGTTTAAAAAGAATTATATTTGCAGAACATATAGGACAATAAAAGCCTCCTCAACATCCATCTTTCTATTTCAACACTATACTTTCCCTACCTCAAGACTGAGAGACATTTGCCCTCTGTAAATCCCTCAGTAGCTAATTGAGTTCTCTTGTATTTTTAGAAATAAATCCACATCTTCAATTGTAAATTCATGGGAAAAATCAAGACACAACCAATAGTCCATCTTATTTCTCAGACATACATTATATGAAAGAGACAGACAGCATGAATAATTTTGAAAATAGTCAGTCTTTGTTTTTGCTTTGGAGATGAAGTGAGAGGTGGGCTGGAGAATGAAGCCTCCTCTTATCACCACCTCCTGGCCACCTGAGGCTGGTCCAACCTTACTGCTATGTAGCCTCACTCTCTGCTTACTAGGTTAATATTCTTTTAAGCCTTAAATATTTCTTCTTGCCTCCAGGTTTTGACTGTTTGCTGTTTATACAGATAGCAATCAATTCCCATCTCAGTCTTTGAAGAACTAAACAAAGTTATTGCATTCATAGAAAATGCTCTCCTTGCCTATGAACATCTTAAAATTCATTTTTCTTCTAAACATTAGACCAGATTAGTTACTGTATTACAGCTACAGCTACATAAATGTTTTGCAAAGTGTGTTAATTATTTTATTCTCAATACTACAAACACCTTGTCTGAAACCCCAGACTGCATTTATTTTACCTTGAAAACTACCCAAGTACTTTCTTAAAGAAGACTACAGTCAGTAAATAATAAAGAAGACTGACTTATGTGTTCACACTGTCTCTGGTACAAAATTATAAAGCTCTCTGCACCCTTTGAGTTTTATTAGAATACAAAAAGGAAATAAATTACAGTTTCACTTGTGCGCTTCTGAAATCACAACCACTTTCTGATTTACATGAATGTAATAAAAAAAACCTCAGCCCTTGATTTTTGTTAGAAATGATACCATATGCATACTTAGCTTCATAATTTGTACATTTGTTTAAACAAAATTAATTCTTATTTTGGAAAATTCTGTATAATGTACAAGGACATTATTTTGAAACAAAATTGGAAAAATATACTCATTTTTGTTGCCACAAACTTGTATTTGTAGCCACCGCATTCCTTGGTTACATTTACATCTCAATTTTCAAATGCAATTGGATTCAAATTTCAGTTCACAGAAGGAAAACAGAAAATATACACAAAGCTGAATTGTATCAATCATATTGTATGTGTATCATATTTGTAGGAACATTTTATTTTTATTTTTGTAAAGTCTTTTCAAAGAAGTCCATGTGCTACATGTTCTACAGAGAATGTCATAGAACAACAACAAAAAAAAAGGAATATGAAAAATCAAGATAAGTTTCACTGGTGTCTTATTGCACCCTGGTCATCCCTGTTCCTAGAGCAGGTCAAACCTCAACATCTCTTCTAGCTGTGGAATTCAAATGGCTTGGAAATTTCCCCTACTCATGAATAAAACAGAGCAAGAATGTAAATGAAAGCTAAAATAAAACCCTTCAACCTTATCCAACAAAATCCTCTTTCTTGATATAAATCATTCCAAAAGTTTTCTGTCAATTTTGTGACAGGCATTTTCTGACAGTAAACATATTGATTTTTTTTTCTTTTTTTCTAAATCTACAATTTTCTTTTATCCTTTACAGGAATTCACAAACACTGTCAAGAGGGAAAAATGGCAGTAAAACCCGTAAAGAAGTTGGCAAG